AGCGCACAGTAGTAATCTTACTATTAAATAAATAAATATTTCCAACACTCACACCAATTAGCCTAGCCCCAAAGTAAGCACTATAAGGCTTGTGTTATGGGATGCTAGGGTAACGGATAGAATACATATACTGTACACATATAAGTATATTTATATAGAAATAGATATTAAACATCCATGACTGGAGTACAAATGCTCGTATTCATCACACAAACATCTGCCCCCACCGGGATTCGAACCCGAGACCTCTCGAGTCGGCGACACCATGAAACCCGGCGTACAAACCACTCGGCCACGGAGGTCGTCAAACTATTATCTTTGATGCCCGCAGATTAATGCAGGGGTCAGCTACTTTGGTTGCCGATCGATGCTACCATACAAAAAATGATTCCGTCCAGATAAGGTGGACCCCTCTTGCCTCTCAACGGCACTGCGCAATTAGATTTATCTCTTTCTTGTCAGGGAATAAACTGTATCATGCTTCTTTATTGCGCAACGACTGCGTATGAATAAATACTTTGTTTCAACTCACGCGCTATTGTTGTACTGGTGTGCTGTTTTTTTTCCAGTGTGCAGGCAGATAGACGATGCGTGAGTAACTTCAAGCGTTCCTGCACTCCTAATTTTGCTAGTTAATTTATTTTATTGAGTATTTAAAAATAAATAAAATTTTAACAATGTGCAACTGTATAAGCGTCTGAACTCCTCAGAGGTCCGGAGGAAGGGGCAAAACACGGTAAGTTTTTGATTAATATATATATACTTATTATTGCGCACGATTTAATGAAATGTTTGACATCTTTCAAGGCTTAATTTACATAAAAAAATAGCTTATTTATCAAGTTATAATGGGTTTTGTTTGCGCAACAGTTGCGCAAAAATGACTTTATGCAACTTTGCGATACCAGGGGCATAGAATTTGCGCTACTAATTTTACGCTACCAAATAAAGGAGCTTACACACATAGGCTTGGAGGTGTTTTTTTTAGCTTTTGTAATATTTGTGTTTTTTTTTTGAGGTTTCCATTTTAGTTCCTGTGAAGGAATTGTATTTCTAGCAATCTCTCCGCTTTTTTGTAACACCTTTTAAGACTTAAAGATAAGAGTAAAAGTTGACGTTTGGCATACTTACATATTAAAAGTGTGTTTTATTTTGTAGCACTGTCCTTACGTTACATATCTTGTATGTACTCCTTAACAATTTTGCGTTACCATTTTGCGTCACTCTGCGCTATGGACTCGTAGAAATTTTTGCGACACCATTGCCTATTTGTGGCAAAATCTACGGCCTGACCCTTGCGCGTTTTGTATCACATTAGAGAATACAAGTATGTGAAAGGGATTAAGATTAAAAACACATGATTTTTAATTAAACAAGTTATTTGTTTTAATATTTATCATTGCAATGACAATAGTAATACAAAAAAAAGGCAAAGCAAGCAAGCAAACTTGCAAGTTGAGCTTGAGATTCCTCAGTTGAATTATGATATGTATGAGCTGAATTATCAAATATTTTGGGACAATTCTAAATGCGTTTTTATAGTATTACAGTAAATTGGCAAATATAGCATCATTTATGAGTTATCCTTTTTCATTTAAAAACATTTAGGAATTAGCTACTGAAATAGCAAGTCAGTTTAATATCTTCTTCTTCGTTACTGTTTGCTCTGAGTGATACCTGTTTTCCTAAATATATATATATATATTCATTTACATATTCTATATCATTTTCTTCAATTGTTATTGGTTTCTTTTCTGAATTAGTCATTATTTTCGTTTTGCTAGGATTCATGTGTAATCCCACTATTTTACTCTGTGTGTCCAGTGTTTTTAACATAATATGTTCTATTTCTGGAGCTGTTTCTGCAAACAAGGCAATATCGTCGACAAATCTTAGATGACTTAGGTGTTGATTTTGTATTTTTATACCTTTATTCTTCCATTCTATAGATTGGAATATGTTTTCTAGGACGGCGATGAACAATTTAGGTGACAGCGGATCTCCCTGTCTAATACCTCTTTCTATTTTGATTTTTTTTCCATAGTTTTCTAATCGCAGTCTGCTTACACTGTTACAGTATATGTTTTTTAAAATATTTATGTATTTATTTCATATGTGTTGAGTGCTTTTCAAATTGAACTATGTGTAATGCTGTCGAAGGCCTTTGTATAGTCTACAAAGGCTATATATAATGGTCTGTTGTATTCTTTATACTTTTCAATGATTTGTTCTATTGTGTAAATATGACCTATTGTTGAGAAATTTGAACGAAATCCAGCTTGTTCGGGTGGTTGGTGGTTTATTCTTGCAGTTAGTATGGATGTGAATAATTTGTAGGTAGACTTATTGGACGATAGTTCGAAATATCTGTGGGATCGCCTTTTTTATAAAGTAGTATGATGTCTGAGTGAAGCCATTGTTTTGGTACTATCTCATATTCTAGAATTAAATTAAACAGGTCTGTTAAGAAGGTAATTATGATTGGTGTACCGAGTTTTATTGCTTCATTACTATTGCCGTCTGGGCCTGGGGTCTTCTCAGATTTTAGTTTCTTTATATGGGTTAGTACCTCTGTTTCTGTTATAGGATCTATTGTGAGATTTTCTCTTTCTATTGGACGTTCAATTTCTACATTACCTATGTCTTCTTTTGTTTTCCTATATAATTTTGTATAAAATACAGTAGAGCAGTTCATAATGTCATTTCGTGATTTTGTTTCCTTTTTCCCTTTTTTTAGTTTTTGAATCCATTTTTTATGTGTTTGAAGTTCTTTGTACGCTCGTTTGAAGCTTCGAAATTTTGTTAGTTTTTCTTGGATTATCCTCTGCCTGTAGTTTTTGTAGTCCTCTTTAATCGATTTGTGAAAAAGACAAATTTTTGAATACATCTTTTAGTTCTTCTTTTTGTTTTTTGGTCTTATTTTTGGTTTTTATTAGTTCTGTGCGTTTGGTTATTAAGTTTATTGTTTTCTCACCCATTATTTTGTGTTTATTATTTTGGTGATTTCCTTTTTCCATTTTCAGGCTTGTTGTTATGATTTCTTCTAGTGTGTTAGAGTATGTTTCGACATCTTTAGAGTGTTGTAATATTTCTAGGTTCATTTGTATATTTTCTTTTAGATTGTTAAGGTACGTTGTTATTTCTTCGTCGGTTTTTGGTATTCTCGGTATGGTTTTAAATGACTTTCTACTTAGTTTGGTTGGTTTTACTTGAAAAGAAGCTCTTACTGGTCTATGAAAAGTGTATTTGGTTTAGGACTTCAACATTTGTGATTATTTTAGGTTTGTTACACATTATAAAATATATTTCATTTTTATTTCGTGTATCTGGTGATTGCCAGGTCCATTTCTGACTTTGTTTCTTTTTGAAAAATGTATTCATTATGGAAAGTTTATTTTCATTGGCATATTCAATTAATTTTTCACCTCTTTCGTTTCGACTTCCGTATCCATATTTTCCCATTATAAGATCTTCATGAGCTTTTGGGTGTCCTATTTTTGCATTAAAATCGCCCATTACCAGTGTAGTTTTTTCTGACATATCGTTTGCTGTTTTTAAGTCGTTATAGAACTGACAAATTTCTGCATCTGTTGATCTTTCTGTCGGGGCGTACACATGGATCAGTGTTATAGCCTCGTCTCCAAGTTTAAGTTGCAATATAGCCACGCTTTCCAATATGCCTATGAAGTATGCTATGTTTAGATTTAATTTTTTCTTTATTAGAAAACCGACCCCATGTAAACCTTCTGTTTCTCCTATGTAGAGTAGAATGTAATCCTTGTACTCTACAATACTACATCCCATTCTTCTTACCTCTGCAAGGCCTAAAATGTCGCAATCTATTTTTTTCTATGGCGTGTGTTAATTCAAGAAATCTTTCTTCTGATGAGAGTGTTCTTACATTGTAGGTACATATCTTTATTGGTTCTTGTTTTTGTTTTTTTGTTTTTATGTTCTTTGTTTTCATGTTCTTTGTATGGAGGGGGTATGGGTTTAACACCATATGTAACTCTTTTGTTTTGTAACAACCAATTATACTCGCAATTTTGAATAACTATGAGTATTTTCATTGAATTTGTAGAGAAAAACCTAATTAAACTTAACCCAAACCTTGACTAAAACAATGTATATTGTGCGGAAAGCATGTATATATGCTGAGGTACACCTTACCTAGGTAGGTAGGTGGGGTGTATCGTGTATGTACGACCACTCTGCATCACACATACTTACAGCCTCCCAGAGTCGATCGTAAGTAATCTAAAATTTTTTAAGGTAGATCGCCAGCACTTCAATTTTGAGCACTCCTGATGTAGACTGATGTTAATAACTATATGTGTGCCAAATTTCATCTGGATGCGTTTAGTCTTTTTTGTGTGATTAAGTAACAAACATACAGACTTTTATATTTATTTAATTATTAGAATAGGATTAGTATGGATGGAAGTATGGATAGATTAAGTTTTACATTGATGGGTTTAAAAAATACAGCTTGTTACAAATGCTGGCCAATAGATAAATGATTGGTCTCGCTATGGCCTGGCCTTACACTGTCTGAATAAATTCATATAATCAATTCAGAGTGCATCAAAATTCCATACAATTTTATAATCTGAAAAATTCATAATCTTAAAATAAATCAGTATGTGGTCTTGATTCTGGCATGATCCTCTAAACTTAAAACTAAATTTAACATCAGTCTCTCCTTTTTATTCTGTATAGAGAATGACAAGGATACACTGTTCTCAAATTTATGTTAAGGTTTAGTGAACCCTGCCAGAATCGAAACCCCTTTGTGGATAGTAAAAAACAAAAACGCAATTCCGTGAGATCCGAACACATATTATTATGAATTCAGATTCTAATTCAATCAGATTGTGTAAGGCCAATCTTACTCTACATAGGTACCTAAATTCCTACTTGTTTATTTTTGTTTGCAAGCAAGCATTACAATAACTAATATAATGTAAAATATACGTTTATAAACGTACGAGTATAATTTAGTTTCCATATTATAAGTTTAGGATTTAATCTTTGGATTTGATCTTGAGTGCCGAAGGAGAATATAATTTATTACTATTATTAAAAAACTAGTTGTGCCCAGCGGTATTACCCGTGGTTTATTAGGGGTATTTTCCCGCAGTACAACATAGCCTATGTGTTAATCCAGGGTGTCAGCTAACTTCATACCAAATTTTATTAAAATCGCGCCAGCCGTTTAGACGTGAAGAAGTAACAAACATAAACACTCACAAACTTTCGGTTTTAAAATATGTGATAAAGTTTATTACTCAATCTTTCACTTACATATGTATTTGTTTTATTTTAATTTACACGCTTTACGCATGCGAACCGGTATGTCAGGTTGGTCGGAGAACAAACCATCGATACCAGCATTGAGGTAAGCTCTTATTTCACTACTAAGGTCACCAATATCGTCCTCGTTAGTGCTGCTTCGGAATTCAGCAGGCAAAAATGAGTTCTCCGCTCGGAAGGTGTAAGGGTGGACCTTCAATCCAGCCAAATGCGCATCGTGGACAAAATTCGTTGCGTGGCACAGTCTGTTGTTTGAATCGCGTGGTATGATTGAAGTTTTGTCTGGTCCCACAGCATAAGCGTATTTCGCGACCTCTTTCAGCCCCAGTGGCGTAGCCATGTCTCCATAAGTATATCCGGTACCAGCTACTACCTGGTCGTACGGCTGCAGAGATAGGTTGCTCTCGTACAGTTGCAGCAACCGTAATTCTGTCAACTGTTTCAGTTCCTTCAGATTGGAGATTTCGAAAGACTGTATGTAAATTGGAGACTCTCGACTTCGGTAACCGTTTTTGTTAAGTATGCCCACGACTGCCCTTTCCATCGGTAAGCCAAGTGTTTTGAAATGAGTGCTGTGTTTTATTTCTGGGTAAATACCGATGATTCTTTTTTGACTTATTTGCAAACTTTTTACAAGATCGATGATCTCCTGGAAAGTGGGTATGGTGAATGCTCCGTTCAGTCTAGCATTGCCTAGTCTGATTTTAGGGATTCGTTCTACTGCTCGCAGTGTTTTGATCTCTTCTAGAGTGAAGTCTTCAGTGAACCATCCGGTGACTTCTATTCCATCAACGGTTTGATTTCGGTGACGAGATGCAAATTCATGATGCTCGGACACGTCAGTGGTCAGACCTAATTCGTTGTCGTGGCGGGCTATAAGCTGTCCATCCTTGGTCATGACTAGGTCTGGTTCAACAAAGTCCGTACCCAAGGTAATCGCTAAAGCGTACGAACCCAGCGTGTGTTCTGGGACGTAGCCGCTAGCTCCTCTATGGCCGATTACTAATGGGTCGCATTCGATAATGACTTTATCGGATTCATCTTTGGAAACTATTGAGACAGAAATTGGTGCAGCTGAGACTACCGTAAGTCCAGCCAAAAGCCAGATTACGCCTTCGGTGAGCATAATGCTGCTGTAAACAAAAAAAATATACCTATGTATAAATATATACGAATGAACTGAAGTAAATAAACCCACTAATACTGTTCGATTCTATAATTTATTAAAATTATTGTTGTACACTTTGCTTAAATGCCTTTTTTTATGATGATTAACTCATCATAATAAAAAGTCATTTAAGCAAGCTTTAAAATTGACGACCAATCGATAACAATAGTGTTTTGGCCTTCTACTCCAACGATTCTGAATTCGAATCCCAGTTTGTTTGATGCACACAAATATTTGGTTCAGGGTCACGGTGTTTATATATTTTTATTTATGAAATTTATACGTTGTTTGGTTGTCTTACTAAAAGATATGCTTAGATTGGGCCTAAATAACTGTTGTGTTTTGTTCAAAATTTATTTATAAAGTTATAACCTTACGTTAAGTTACCTAAACATATATCTTAATCATTCGTTATCAATATCTAGATGTATAGTTGCTTGAACCTTGATACTAGTATCAAGTGCTAGCACAGCTTCGTAAAAAAATATTTTTGTTAGTTACTTACTAAGTCTAATATTTATCAAAGAAAATGGGTATGTTTTTAATTAAAACATACCCATTTCACTAGAATCGGATCTCCAAAGTTCACATGTTAATAAAAATATAGATAACAAAGTAGTTACGTACCGATAATCTTACGGAGAGCACGCGACTGATTCAAACTGAACAAACAAAATAAATGTATAATTTCTTGACACTGTTATCGTCATCTGGCAGACATGGTAAAGTGCCTAGCGAGTATGATGAGGAGGAAAATCGTTACAGTTATATTGTTTTCCTTTTATTTACTTCGTAAACGCGTTGCGTTGCGAACGAGGCATATGTACTGTACCAACTACCTATGTAGCCTGCCGAGCAACGTCCTCACTATACATATTACGTTACCTTGTACCCGTAGGTAGCTGTTTAATAATTGCATTAATGTCAGTTTCATCTTCGTATTACGAAAAATCTGCACTAGTTCCCATTCCCGGTTTGGCTTGTGTGAGTTTTGGAACAGCAGTGCTTTTATGAAGAAACAAACTCACATTACATCTCGGTTGCCGCGGTATAATTTATTATTAGAACAGGAATTTCAAAGAAATTTTAATTTTAATTTCATTTAGTAAAACTTATATATTATCTATTATTATAAAATAAAGTATATCTACCTATGTATGTATGCATGTTCACGATGATTTAAAACATGAACGGATTTTTACTTTCATCAGTTAGATTGGATTCGTGTACCTACCTATATTAAATATGTTTTTAAAAAGTTAAAGCCTAGCGCTCTGTCATCTTTTGTTTACGGTAACTTAAAAATAAAAAGGCGAAAAGTTAGATATTTAACTTATCCACGAAAAATCTTTTAGTTATAAAAAAGTATGAGTTTCTTTGAGGCTATACAGCCCCTCTAGCATGACCACCAAAACGGGATATGATAAAGCGATATATCGACATTAACTGTCAGACTACAGAGTTTGACAGTAGTCTGAAGGATAATGTCGATATATCGCTATATCATATCCCGTTTCGGTGGTCATGCTAGAGGGGCAGGATAGCTTCTCTACCAGTTTTCTGTTTTGATATATTTTTCTAAGGGTTCAAGGCATGCCCGAGGACTTGATGTACCTTCTCAACAAACAAACATTTCATCTATAATTTACTTACCCACATTTAAATTCTTTATAAATATAAAATTTAATATAAATACGCTGACGACGCTATTGTCGTCGTGACAGTAAGTAAGTATTGATTTGCATTGCTAATTAAATGAAAGTAAGAACCTTATATACTTATAGATAAAATTAGTAGGTACCTATCGCATAAGTTTACGGGTATATTTACTTATAGAAAACCAACTACAATAAATTTGGAGTTAAAGAATACAGGAGAATAAAGATATTTATATTTTAAAAGAAACGATATCAAAAAGTAAGCTAGTGTGTAACGTTTAATCTAGTCAGTACCTTAATGTATTTTGATGAAATATCAGATTTTAGTTGTCCTCTTTCATAAAAACTCTTTATGCAAAGCTAGCGGCCGCTCGCGACTTTATCTCTGGTAACTGAAGTTTCTTGAGAATCCTATGGCACATAACCTTTATCGAAAAAAAAAAGTATCGCATATCTCAATAAACAAACAAAAACTTACAAACATTCACATCTCACACTTCTCCTTGAGAAAAAACTGGTTAAAAAGTGGAATGAATTAGTCAATTAGTAGGTACTTATTATAACAAATAATAAATATTTTTATGAATTTAAGTAATTTTATTAAGTTTTTTTTTTGATTTTGATAAACTTACTCGGTTGTACATTCCCGTGAAGTGTATTGATAAAGGTCGAATATGACATTAGATAAGTAGAGTGAAGTTAACTATATCAGTAGTCACAAGCCCACCAATCTGTGCAATGAATGTATTATTTTCATCTCAAAATTTGCCTTATTTTTTTAAAGATAAACATTATTTTCAAATAGTGTCAGTACTATTTAATCGTATACAATAATACATGTCATATTATGAGTTATATTGCTTTTGTACATAGAATAATCTTTGGTGTTAAACGTAATAAAAACTTAAATATTAATCTAACTAAACTAATTATCATGCGAAATTTAAAATTTTGTAGGTGCATTTTATATAACATCGTAAATATTGAAAAACAACCATTACTTAACTAAGTACCTCCTTAAGATTAAAAGAAATAGAGCTATGAATATTTATTATACTTAATTAATAATTATGTTATCGTGATTTATTAGGAGCTCGATGTTATGTGGGGGCACCGTTATAACATGATTTACAGCACTATAAATGATCACATAATCACTGAAAAGAGATAGAATAAATCCCTTCACTCAGTGTAAAAAATAATAAGAATCATATACATATAAATTATACGACATTTAGAAATCTATAGGCAAGCAAATGAATAAAAAAAAAGCTATAAATCTAAATAAAATTTTCCTAAAAAGACAACTCCGTCCAGGTTTCAGATGGGAAATTTCGGAAGATTTTCTTTAGATCAAAACATCTAGCAGTCAAAAGGCCAAAAAATATTTATACTATTTGTTTTATAAACTATATATAGGTATGTAAACTTATATCTCCTCGTTTTATTTCCAGGCTTAACAATAACTTTGTCTTATCTTTTCACGCAAACTATAGTCAGATACTATCATTTCGTATAAATTACTATAAAACAATAATACGAAGCATAAAACTGATAAACATTGAAACTTTAAACAATAATAAAGGGCTTAATGTTGCTGCTGATGATGTACACCTTGGGATATCACTGACACAGGGTTTTCTTATTTTGACCAATACGTCAGGATGGTCAGCAAAGAGTCCATCTATTTCCGCAGCAAGGAAGGCTTTGATCTCTCCTGCTGCATCACCAAGGTCATGAGACGCTCCACTACTACGAAATTCCGCAGGTAGGAATGAGTTCTCTGATCTGAAAGTCCAAGGGTGTACTTTTAATCCAACAGCATGGGCGTTTTGTACGAACGCAGTGGGTCTACTCAACGTATTGTTTGCAGTACGGGGAATAATGTAAGCTTTCTCAGGTCCAACTGCATACGCATATTTTGCGATCTCACCTAGACCTTCCAGAGTAGCCATTGTCGAGTACGATACGTTGGTGCCCTGCAAAACTTGATCGTACGGCCTTGAACTTCCGAGCAATTGTAGCAAACGTAGATCCGTCATAGTCTTCAGTTCTTTCAAATTGCTAATCTCAAAAGATTGGATGTAAACTGGAGCATCACGTCTGACATAACCATTACTATGTAATAAGTCTACAAGTGGTTTTTCCATAGCCAATCCCAGTCGCTGAAAGTGTGACGGGTGTTTAATTTCAGGATAGATTCCAACCTCGCGGCAGGATATCGTTCTCATGCTTTTAGCTAGATCTATTATTTCTTCCAATGTGGGGACTTCAAAGGCTAGGTCCATGCGGGCATTTCCTGGTCTCATGGCCGGGATGCGTTCAATAGCACGCAGAGTTTTCACTTCGGCTAAAGTGAAGTCTTCAGTGAACCAACCGCTCACGTTAGTTCCGTCTACGATTTGGGTACGGTAGCGAGAGGCAAATTCTAGTCTTGTGGCGACATCTGTTGTCAGGTCTAATTGGTTATCGTGTCGAGCGATGATGTATCCGTCTTTGGTCATAACGATGTCAGGCTCGATATAGTCGGCGCCCATAGTGACTGCGAGGGCATAGGCACCCAGAGTATGTTCTGGAACATAGCCGCTGGCTCCTCGATGGGCTATCACTAAGGGACTACATTCATCAGCGGACATAAGTTGTAATGTAGTTGCGTCAGCATAATGCGTGATCAATACGAAGATGAACATGAGAAGTCTCCAAGCTTCGGAGTTCAGAATCTTTTTGCGAGCTGTTAACAAAATGAATGATAAATTACTGTAATAAAAAAACATAAAAACTTACATTAATATATATTATACAATAGAAAGCTTACCCATCATGTGTTTTCTTCAAGCGTAGATTCTTCAAAATATCGGTGCCACCAAAGTATTTTTAAGTGATAAAATATATTATAGTAGATTATATAGCTTAATTACTGATGTCGGTACAGTAAAAACGACAAGTGTATTCAGCTATTCGCATAGTTTTCTGGTCTTGTATAGTTAATAATACTACTAGCAGTTTCTTGATGGGAGATTGATACAGCTGTATGTTATGTACAGAACAAATATGTAGGAGCTCTTGTTCACCATTCAGATACTTAAATTAAATCAGAGACAAAATAGTGAGGTAAAAAAAGTCATTATTTTTATATTCAAATAGTGAATAACCGTTCAGGCTTTACTTTCCTGCATATTCACAAAATTAAAGTAGAAATAATAATAAAATATTTGTTTCGGATCATGTCATGCATATATTTGTTTTTCCTACTTCCGTACATATACAACACATATACGGAAGTGGAAATATAGGTAACAATGTTTGTTCCTAATTGTACCTCATAATACCATGATAAGATTCTGCCAACAAATTATTTTGTTGTAAAACACATTATCGCGTTGTTTATGTCCGTAGTTTTAACAAGCACCACATATGGATATCACAATAAATAAAAAGTGCTACTAGAACTTTTCTTTTATCGAAGTATGCTTACGATTATTTTATAAATCACTTTTAGGTACCTTCTAGGCTTTTTACCCAACTGCGCACGCAAGCATCGCGAAGCGTGACGTGCAGACATGGTATTGTGTTCAATTACATAGATAATTCTTGACATTTCAGATGACTTTAGGCTCGCTTGTCCACAGAAATTATAAAGAAATATGCAATCATCTAATATCGTGCTTAGAACTTGCTTATATAGTGTTATATTAAAACATGGGTGTTAAGCATAATTAATTGAAAAATATAATTAGTGTACACTGGTGTGGTTATCATACTACGCATTATTGCAATGTTAAGCGCTTTATCGCAATTTTATTAAAAACAATTACATCCCTTGGGGGCGATGCACGCCCCTGTGTTGACATTGAGATTTAGACAGCAGGGTTGACACTATTCATTGTGCACTTTATATGTTTTTTTTAAACATATACCGAGTAACTGCATACATATTCAAATAAAATTGTACTTTTTCTTTGTGATGAATATGTCACGTTTATATCTTGCCATTGTGAACTTTAAAGTATAAGTTACAAAGTTATCATACGAAAATAGGAAAAAATAATATTTAAGGGTTAGTATA